CCGGGAACACTTCTCCTCCCCACAACTGGCAGCTCCTGGGATCTCTTGGCCATCTCCAAATTCCAGTGCCACCCACTGTGCTCACCACCCAGCCAGCCACACCCCTGGGCCAGCCCTGCATCTCCCGGACTCCCTGTCTCTCACCCTGTCCTCTGCGAAGGCCCCTGAAGCCCCTCCTTCCTGCCCTGCAGTGTTGAGGCTGGGAGGGCGGAGTCCCTGGAGCAGCTGTGGCCCACAGCAAGGACCCCTTCCTCCACAGCCTCGGCTTCCGGGTTTCTCCACCCCAAGCCCACTCCCCATGGGCCACTCTTTTGTTGCCCTGGTGGATCAGGGTCCCCGGCTGAAGGAGGCCAGATCCACACCCCACACTCAGTGCAGGGCTGGAGCCCGGAGCCCTGGCCTGGTGGGTGGGTGGCCCGGGACCTGGCCCTGCCCAGCCCAGGAGGCTCTCTCCAGCTGGGGGGACTGCTGCTGACCTGGCTACCTGGTGTTGTTGACTGCATGGTTGCGACCATGCTGGGCCGCAGGAGATCAGCTCAGAGTGGGCCCCATGAGTGCCCTGGGGCACCATGAGACCTGGGCACCGTGTGACCTGGCAGCGTGGATCCCAGGACCCCAGGACAGGGCCTGGGGTACGAGCATTTGCTCAGCTGCAGCAGTATCTCTGCTCTGCTCCCAGGGCGCACTAGGCTGAGCTCCCAGGCGCTGGCCTCCCCCAGCTAGATGATGGACTTCTCTCTCTCACCCAGTGGAGGAGAGGAACGGGCTCAGGGAGCTTCCCAGGAGAGGACACCCTCCACCCAGCACAGGTCCTGCCCCAGCTCTGGCGAACGGTGAGGGTTTACACCTTGCTTTGCTCATGCTTTTCATGCGTTGTTACTTTTGGAATAATATCGAAATCAGCAGGGGCTGGGCGCGGTGGCTCAAGCCTGTAATCCCAGCACTTTGGGAGGCCGAGACGGGTGGATCACGAGGTCAGGAGATCGAGACCATCCTGGCTAACACGGTGAAACCCCATCTCTACTGAAAAAATAATAATAATACAAAAAAACTAGCCGGGCATGGTGGCGGGCGCCTGTAGTCCCAGCTACTCGGGAGGCTGAGGTAGGAGAATGGCGTAAACCCTGGAGGCGGAGCTTGCAGTGAGCTGAGATCCGGCCATTGCACTCCAGCCTGCGTGACAGAGCGAGACTCCATCTCAAAAAAAAAAAAAAAAAAAAAATCAAAATCAGCAGGAAAATGACAGCATGGATGATGTCAGCACTCAGACTGAATCACTCAGCACATTAAACTATTAAGTTTGTGTCTGAAGTTTCTGGGTGGGTGCTGTGGGCCAGATCGACATATGTGGTGTGGCAGAGCCCTGCCTAGGACGGAAGGCCAAGTCCAGGAAACCCTGACAGTGCCTCCGGGACTCTTCCCTGGCCCAGGGCAAGGAGGGTGCCTGGCACCCAGGAGGGCTATGGGCAGACAGGACCCAGAAGGTGGGAGCGGGGTGGGGGTGGGGGCCTTGGCAGGGGCTTTCAGAGAGGCTGGAGTGGGAGATTGCAGCTGGGCAGCTGCCTCCTTTCCCTACTGTCTGGAGTGACCCGTGCGGGGTCTCAAACTCAATGCCCCGTGGTCCTCACACAGCCCTGCTTTGTGCTCCTGGGGTCCCTGGCCTCAGCAGGGCTGCTGTCTGGGGATGGAGCATCTGAGGAGCAGTGGGCTGGCTGAGCTGGGGGCACCATTCATGTCCAACTGGCTGGCACGGGCCCCACAGCCAGTGCTTGGCCTAGCCAAGCACTCACGCTTCTCAAGCTGACTTCCGGGGGAGCCCTTGCTGGAGCTCCATCCTGCTCCTCCCGACTTGATCCACACCCCACTTCCTCCTCATCCCAACATCCGCCTGGACAGGATGGCCTCCGAGTCTTCCCGGCCTGCAAAATGTTTTCCCTGCCTGGATCTTCAACCTGCTGGCCCCTTTCTCGCTCAGCTCCTGCCCCTTTCCAGCTGGATGGCGGTCTGGGGGCTTCTTCTCCAGGGCTCAAGGCCTCCTCTAGGCACTCGAAGGGCCAACTGCACCTGCCCTGGTATGGCCAATTGGCCCATGGAGGTTGGCTAGGCAGAGACCATTTTCTGCATCACCTCCCTCTGCTGCTGGAGTGGAACCTGGGTGGCTCCTGGTCAGCAGCCTGTGACCCTCACCCCAGCTGGGCAGCCCTGGCCAGGTTCACATACCCTGAGTGGGCACCGCCCTCAAGCCCTCCAGCAGAAGCCCCTTTCCCTTCCCCAGGGCACCTGTCACTCTGACCTAGGGCAGTCACCAACCTTGTCTGTTTCCCCCAAGCTGTGGCTGGGCCCCCCCACTCCCAGGTTAGGACCTAGACAAGTGTGAGAGCTGAGAAGGGTCACTTCGTGCATGGCTGGATGTAACAGAAGTAACAACGGGGGCAGGCAGAGACAGAGACAGAAAGACACAGAGACAGAGACAGAAAGATAGAAACAGGGCAGGGTGCGGTAGCTCACGCCTGTAATCCCAGCACTTTGGGAGGCCGAGGTGGGTGGATCACGAGGTCAGGAAATTGAGACCATCCTGGCTAACACAGTGAAACCCCGTCTCTACTGAAAATACAAAAAATTAGCCGGGCGTGGTGGTGGGCCCCTGTAGTCCCAGTTACTCGGGAGGCTGAGGCAGGAGAATGGCATGAACCCGGGAAGTGGAACTTGCAGTGAGCCGAGAACACGCCACTGCACTCCAGCCTGGGTGACAGAGCAAGACTCCATCTCAAAAGAAGAGAAAAGAAAAGAGAAAAGAAAAGAAAGAGAAAGAAAGAGAGAAAGAGAGAAAGAGAGAAAGAAAGAAAGAAAGAAAGAAAGAAAGAAAGAAAGAAAGAAAGAAAGAAAGAAAAGAAAAGAAAAAGAAAAGAAAGAGAAAGAAAGAAAAGAAAGAAAGAGAGAAAGAAAGAGAGAGAGAAAGAAACAGAGAGACAGGCAGAAAGACTCAGTGACAGAGATACAGCGACAGAGAAAGAAGTGACAGAGACACAGAGACAGAGATAGAGACAGAAACAGGCAAAAAGACACAGAGACAGATACAGTGACAGGGAAAGACAGAGACAGAGACAGAAAGATAGAGACAGAGAGCCAGGCAGAAAGACACAGAGACAGAGAGATACAGTGACAGAGAAAGAGACAGAGAGAGATTGGCAGAGGAAGATGGGGCGGAACATAAGGCTGACAGAGGGTCTCTGTCCTCCGTGCCCCAGGCCCCAGCTTCTGGTGTGCTTGGAGCGCAGCCTGGCCTGGGTTACAGAACTGGAGAGGAGTCAGCCTAGGAGTCCAGTGCCGAAGCCCAGACCCCCGGACCCTTCTGCTGGGAGGAGCCTGCACTCCTGTGCAGACTGTCCCAAAGGCACCAGCATCTCCCCTGCATGCAGCTTGTGCAGGTGGCAGGGTCAGTCGTGAGCCTGGCTCTGGGCCCTTCCTCTCTGGGGTCACTGTCAGGGTTAGCTGTTGGGTTACCCACCCAGTTAGGGACGGACGGAGAAAGTGCCAGGGCCGAGAAGCGACCTCTTTCCGGGACCCAAACATCTCACCCTTGCTGTCCCCTCCCAGGTCCTGAGGAGGCAGACTGAGCAGACCAGGCTGGGGCTCAGGTCAGGCCTCCAGGCATCGGGAAACAGAGAGTCCACTCCATAGGTATCCAGCTGGAGGTGCGTGAGGACTGAGGCCTCGGACAAGGGGAGGTGGAGATGACCTGAAGGGCCACTGGGGGTCCAGGGGTCGCTGACAGGAAGGGGCCTGGGTGTACATCCTGCCTCCTGTCCCTGGGCCCAACTTTCTGAGTCCACTTGGCCCAGATCCAAGGAGAGAGGAAGGGAGGGTGCTGGGGGTGCCCACGCCAGGGAGGCTGGAGAGACCCCAGTTCTAGGGCACAGGTCCCCCTCCAGGAGGTTGCCTGTGAACCCCCAGGCCCATGCCCCTTCTCACTGCCTCAGGGAGCCCCCGTGCCATCACCCTTCCCTCTCCCCCAGCGCTCCCTTCCTCTGCGGAGAATCCCCTGCCAGGTCAGCAGAGGAGTGGGGACCGGGGCAGAGGCGCTGGGGCCAAGGCTGGGGGGTCCAGTCTTCTGAGTCCTCCTGAGCTCAGGCTAAACACGGGGCACCGGAGGGGATGGGGCTGAGGGCAGGGGAGAGACGATCCTCCCAGCGCCAGCGGACTCCCTGGGACTCAGCCGGGAGGGGACACTGACAAGTTAATGTGGCGGCCACCGGCAGCGGCCCCCACTCTCCACCCACCCCCACTCACCACCAGGAACACAGGGCAGCTCTAGGGTCCCGGTGCGCCCCATCCCTCCCGCCACCCGGCGCCCGACATTGCACAGCAGGGACCGAGAGCCGACCTTGCGGCGACCCTGCTCTCCCGCAGTGCCGCGTCGCCGCAGAGGAAATCCCGGGGACCAGGGGAGGGGGCGGTGGGGTCTCCGGCCTTCGTCCCGCTAAAGGAAACAGCGACTCTGTTACACTGAAAGTCAGCCCAGGCCGACCTGCGGATCTCCCGCTGCGAGGGGCTTGGTGGGTTTTCAGGGGTCTGGGGGCCCCCTTCTCCCGCCCTGCGATGCGGGGAGATCCCGGCAGAGGGCTGGGGCGGCGGGCGGCGCTCGGGGGCACGGTCCCCGGAGTATGAGGGGGCAGCGACTCCCCCTAACCCCTGACCCCTCCGCCCGGGAGGCAGCGACTTCTCTGCCTGAGGGTTTCGTACCCATCGGCCTGGTGCGGACCCTGTAGGGAGCAGGCCCGCATGGTCGCCCGCATGGTCGGGCTAGGGGCGCGGGGGCAGGGCCGGGGGCGCCCAGATCAGGGGCGGGCAGGGGTCGCAGGCCCAGGCCGGGGAAGGTCGCACCCGGGCGGGGTTGGAAGGAGACGGGGGCGCTTCACTCGGATCCGCCCCCGCTCCCGCCCCGCCCCCGCCCCCGCCCGGCGCCCGCGGCCCCGCCCCTCGGCGCTCCCCTCCCCCTGCTCGTCACGCTCGGACGCGGGCGGGGGGCGGGGAGCGCCTCCGAGTGACGCGCCCTCCTCGCTGTGCCCTTCAGCCGCCGCCGCAGCTCACCGGGCGCCACATGGACCCAGCCGGCCCGAGCGCGCCCCGCCGCTGACCGCCTGCGCCCCGGGAAGGTAACCGCGCCCCGAGCGCAGCGCCCGCCCGGTCTCCGCTCCCCGGGTCTCCCCCCGGCGCCGGTTTCTCCTCCCCGGCCCCGGCTTCTCCCCGCTTTTTCCCCCGGCCCCGGTTTCTCTTCCCCGGCCCGGCTTCTCCCCTCTTCTCCCCCGGCCCCGGGTTCTTTTCCCCGGCCCCCCTTTCTCCCCCCGGCCCCGGCTTCTCCTCCCCGACCACTGCTTCTCCCCGCGGCCCCGGCTTCGCCCCGCGTCTCCCCCCGGCCTCCGCTCCCCGGGTCTCTCCTCCACGGCCCCGGCTTCTCCCCCTCGCCCCGGCCTCTTCCCCCGGTCCCCGTTTCTCCCCCCGTCCCCGGCTTCTCCCCGCGGCCCCCGCTTTTCTCCCGGGCTCCGCGCGCGCGGGGTCCGGGGCGGGCGCTGTCCACTGCCGCGGTGCTGAAGCGGCCCCCGCGGTCCCGGCCCGTGGCCGGCCTCCTCCTCGCTTCTTCCTGTCTCCGAGGCTCCCCCTCTCCTCCCTCGCCCTCTTTCTTTCCTCTCCTGGCGCGCTCCCGCCTGAGGGCCGCTCGCCCGCCCGCAAAGCCGAAGGGTGCGGGTGCGGCGGGGCTGGAGCCCTGCCGGTGTGCGGGGCCCGGCGGTGCCCTTCTTCCCCGCGCCGCGGGAGCCAGGGGAGAAGTTTGGAGGAGAATCGGCGCTGCGGCAAAGGCTCCGAGGGGCGCTCCCCACCCGCCGCCCTCCCAGTCCCCGCGCGAGTCTCCTTCCTCTGCAGAGGGCGGGGGGTGAACCGTCTAACAGTGTCTCTCCAGGGACCTGGGTTTCCCTGAAAGGAGAGACCCCACAAACGCGGGGGGCGCACTGCGGCTGCTGTGATTTCAGAAAGCGGCTTCCCAAGAGGGGACCAGAGCGCCCCACCCCACCCCATGCACATCTCGGGAGGCGGGAGTGCTCGGTCTCCGTTCCCATGTGTTCCCCGAAGGCTGATCCCCCTGAAGTTTCTCCCCAACCCCGATCTCTTCTACGTGGGTCATGTGGGGGGCACAGTGACTGCAGTGCCATCAGGGGTAGGGTGACCCAAGCCTGCCTGGTCAGAAGCCACAGGAGCCCACCCTGAAGGGCAGCCGCTCAAAGACCCACCCCCAACCCTTCTCCACTGCCCTGGGCTCCGGACCACCAAGGAGGCGCTGCTCCAGACACGGAGCTGCAGAGCAGAGCAGTCACCTTCAAACGCCCCCTGGGCCCCGCCCCTGCTTCCGCAGCCTGGCGCCAGGCGCCTCTGAGCGTTACCCCCTAAGCTGTCAGCAGCCCTCCCTGCAGGGGCTTCAGACACCCCAGGAGCTAGGGAGACCACTTTCAGGTCCTCTGGGGGCCTGGTTTGGGTGTGGGGACAGAAACCCCTCACGAACGGACTTCCCAAGCAGCTGCTCCTGGTGGGGGAGGGTCCAGCCCACAAGGTATTAGGGGGAAATGAATGATGGTCTCTGGGGAAGGCCAGGCAGAGGTCTGCTCAGGGTGACCCGTGACCACTTCACTCTCCCCCAGGAAGAACACTCACTCCTGGCCACACTCGCATGTGAGTTCTGACCCTTGGAGGAGCCGCTGTGGAATCAGAGCAATCGCCATGGAGTTCGTGATGAAGCAGGCCCTGGGAGGTAGGAAGCAGGAGGTGGGGTGGGGAGGGGCTGAGGGGCCGGGCCACTGGGACAGGCAGACATGGAGAGACCACCACACCAGCTGCTCCTCAAGCGGCCCACCGCAGCAGCGCCCCTGCAGCCACACAGCCACCAACTGTGTGGAGGAGCCTGGGGCCTGGGGCAGAGGAGCAAGGACCGTGCCCAGCAGCACCTGGGGCAGAGGAGCAAGGACCGTGCCCAGCAGCACCTGGGGCAGAGGAGCAAGGACCGTGCCCAGCAGTGCCCCCAGCCCAGCCCTTTTCGTGTCCCTGAGACAGAACTGGTGTCCCTGGTGGGATAGGGGCTGCCCTGTAAGCTCACTCTGCCCCGCTGCTGTGGTTGGGGCAGAGCCCATGGACCACGCTGATGCAGGTCCTAGGGGAGGGTGGACACCCTGGTGTAGGCTTTGCAGGGCCAATTCTAAGTGGCCAGTCTGGGCAGCCCCCAAGGGGGCTTCCTTCCCGGTGAGGAGGGCCCAGTGGTGGGAGAGCAGGATGCAGGGGCGGCCTCAGGGACAGGTGTGGGGACAGAGCTGGCCTGTGCATTTGGCGAGGATTCTGTGGGTTTCACTTGGGTGAGGCAGTGCCGTCCTCAGGGAGCCAGGGCTTGCTGGTTACAGGAGCAAAGGAAAAGGCCCAGAACAACTTGTGTGTCTCGACTGCCTCCCAGGCAGGACGTGCAGCCTTTTTTGTGTGTACTGGGGTGGGGGCAGGCCCCCTTCCAACCTGCTGTCTGCTATTTGAAAGGAACCTCGTCCCCACTTCATTGTGGCCAGAGACCATGCCAAGGGCAGCAGCTAAGTCCCTAGTCCAGGAAGTGGGCAGGGCCTGGGCCATGCTGGTACAGACGTGTCCCAGCAGAGCTGATGGGGTCAACTTAGGCCTCAGGGCTGTCCTGGCGAGTCTCAGTTTTGCTCAGAGCCATCCATCTTATGTTCCCCCAGCTCCTTGGTGCAGCACCAGTGCCCAGAACTCCTGTGAGGGGAACCTGTGGCCGGTGCCCGATTCTACCACTGGAGACGCCTTACTTGGGTGGCCTCCACAGGGGAGTATCCTGACCTGATGCCGTTCACACCTTGGTGTGAGTCAGGCCGCCTGGGAGCATTTCTGCAGTGGGGGAGCCAGCCGGGTTCGAGGGGCCAGGGACAAGGGTGGACAGAGGGCAGGTGCCGCTTCCCCCAGGACAGGAGCTGCCTGCCTGGCTGTCTCCTGGTGGGTGACTGTGCTTCCACTCAGCACAAATTAAATGAAAAGATGTTGAGCCTGGCCTGGGGCCACATCCTGGAGATTTCGTGGTCAAGGGTAAGCTGCAGGTTGAGTCTAATTATAATGATTGCGTCACCGGGCCGTGATTCAGGGACTAGCCTGCATCTGCGTTGGGAGGGACGCACGTTCCACCCCGGGAGTCCCAGACTGTTACAGATAATTAATTAGGTGGCTAATTCAGGCCCTGAGGTGGGCTTGTAAGAAAACTGAAATATCTTATTTGGCTGTCTACATGACTGAAATTAGCTGGGTAATTACCAGCCCGAATTCCCTTTTTGTTTCATGGCAGCCCAAAGTTTCTCTTGCAGCAGCAACGGGGCAGGCATCACTCAGCGTGGTAGAGCTGAGAGGGGGCAGCCGGCGGACCCCAGGGGGCTCCACGCTGAGTGCTGCCCAGAGCACCCCACATTGGCTTTGCAGAGCACGTGAGGCTCGGAGCCAGCACTGCTGAGGGTGGGAGCTGGTGGGGGGCTTCCAGGCGAGACCTTGTTTTCTGCCTCTGCGCCTCTGTCCCTTACCCGGCGAGCCTCATCGTTGCTGTCTCAGGATGCGTGTGAGAGAGACAGAGTGAGACAGAGATGGAAAATGGGGGGACCTCCAGACAGCACAACAGAGCTTGGCAGAGACCCCAAGAGAAGTATTGAGAAATAGACCAAGCCCTGGACACAAAGAAACTGGCAGGTGAGGGAGCAGGAGGCACCCGGGAAGCCGTTCAGAGAGAGGCGAACCCAGAAACAGGGTCAGGGAGGGGGGAGCTGGAGAAAGAAAATGACAGCCCAGAAACAGAGACAGAGAAAAAGACACAAATGTGTTATTCAGCCCGCACAGGGACAGACAGGTGAAAACAGAAGGCACGTCAGAGACAGAGGCAGAGCGGGAGACAGAGCAGAGGAGGAGACAGAGGCAGAGGGAGACAGAGAGACAGAGACAGGGAGAAACAGAGACAGGAGAGATGGGAGCAGAGGGAGAGACAGAGGGACCCAGAGAGAGAGACAAAGGAAGAGGGCAAAGAGAGGGAGAGGTGGAGGCAGACAGAGAGACAGAAAGACAGAGACAGAGTTAGAGAGATAGAGATGGAATCAGAGACAGGGAGAGACAGAGATGGGAAGAGACGGAGAATCAGAGACAGAAGGAGTGAGAGTGGTGAGAGGGAGAGACAGAGACAGAGGGAGAGACAGAGACAGAGGGGAGAGACAGAGATGGGAAGAGACGGAGAATCAGGGAGACAGAAGGAGGAGAGTGGTGAGAGGGAGAGACAGAGACAGAGGGAGAGACAGAGAAGGTAGAGGGAGAGACAGTGGGGAGACAGTGGTGAGAGGGAGTGAGACAGAGAGAGGAGACAAAGACAGAGGAGAGAAGAGACAGAGGGAGAGACAAGGGAGAGACAGTGGTGAGAGGGAGACAGAGAGAGAGGGAGAGACAAAGACAGAGGGAGACAGAGACAGAGGGAGAGACAGGGGAGAGACACCTCGGTGAGAGGGGGAGAGAGACAGAGACAGAGGGAGAGACAGAGAGACAGAGGGAGACACTGGTGAGGGAGAGAGAGACAGAGACAGAGGGAGAGACAGTGGGGAGAAAGACAGAGACAGAGGGAGAGACAGAGACAGGGAGAGACAGTGGGAGAGACAGAGACAGAGGGAGAGACAGAGACAGAGGGAGAGACAGAGACAGAGGGAGAGACAGGGGGCGAGAGATGCATGAGAAATGAACTGCTAAGAGGAGTCAGGGCCGGGAGTGCAGGCAGCAGGGCAGACGCACACGTGCACGCCCGTCAGAGGGCGCAGCAGAGAGGAGGAAGAGGTGAGGACCTGCTGGGGGCTCTGGGCAGGGAGATGGGCCTCACTGAGAGGTGGCCTAGTTAAATCATGGCTGCTCGGGGGCTTCCACGGCAGGCTGGGCTGCAGGTGTGAGTCCTGCCAAGGAGTGAGTGGCCCAGGGCCTGCTCCTCTGACCCAACCCTGGGTCTCAAGGAGGGGCCCCTATTGGGGCCACCGAGGGAAGGAAGCACGGTGGCTGCTGGGGTGACCGCTCACAGGGGAGCAGGAGGCTCCTCTGCAGCAAAAGTGACCTTGAACTGGGGCCGGGCCTCCTACCACAACATGTGGGTCCGGATCCAGGGTCCTCATGGGAGTAATTTAAAGAAACTGGTTTCCTCAGGCCAGAAAGTCGGCCTGGGAGAAACACGGCCTGGGAGCTCTGTGCACAGCGTGGAGGAACGTGGCACGTGTGGGTGCTGTGATCACTACAGACCCTTACAGGGCTAAATTCGGCAGAAGTGACAGTCACCCACTCTCCCGTCCTTCCGCCTTGATGTGACACACACCCTGTTTAAACACGCTCAGGTCCTCGGGAGTGTGTGAGGCAGGCGGGCAGGGGCTTCAGGTGGGAGAAGGCCTGCAGGATGCATATGTGGAGAGGGTGGGGTGCAGAGTGGGGCGGGGGCGGGGTTGTGGGAGGCAGCGGGACACACTCAGGAGAGCCTCTGACAGCCCCAGCAACGGAGCCCAAAGCAGGACGTACCCATGCTCGGCTCTGCCACGTGTGGGGAGGGCTAGTGGGCAGGTCCAGTGACTCCGGTGGTTCAGTCACGGTGGGCAGTGTCCTGCAGTGAGTGCCCCTCACCCATCCGGGCCCAACCCGGGGGGCGCAGCCTGGCCTGGGCTTGGTGGAGAAGCTGTCCTTGTCCCCAGAGAGTGGCGTGGTGTTGGGTTCTGTGTCCAGTCCTACATGGGGAAGGAAGGAGTTGAACGTCTGGGGAGAACCCACCTCAGGGGCATGGTCCTGGGTTTGGTGTGAGGAGGAGGATTGTGGTCACCCAGGCCGGGGTGGACGAGAAGCGTCTCGTGGACGGCCCAAGCAGGAAGTGCAGGGCTCTGCCCTGTGGGAGAGCCTCGAGGACCATCCACGGTCGGAGAGCCCCTCCTCACCCCTGTAGGGATGGGCTGTGAGTTCTCGGCAGGAACAACCCAAGGGGCTTGTGGGGGCCACCAGTGTCCACACTGGGGGTTCACGCAAGGCTGGTGAGGGGTGTCCACCTTGGGGGTTCATGCAGGGCTGGCGAGGGGTGTCCACCTTGGGGGTTCACATGAGACTGGTGAGGGGTGTCCACCTTGGGGGCTCACGCAAGGCTGGCGAGGGGTGTCCACCTTGGGGGTTCACGTGAGACTAGTGAGGGGTGCAGTTGGGAAAGAATCTCCCTCTGTGAACGGAGACCACCAGAGCCAGGAGTCCAGGCCATGGATGCCTCAGCCACACTGCAGCCAACACCAGCATCTCCCCCAGCCCTCCACGGGGATGGAGGGAGCACCTCCTTCCTCCTTCCTGGCACCAAAGTGGGGCTCAGCACTCACCATCTGGGACCTCAGGCAGGGCCATGGAGGCAGCTGGGATCTGGGTAGTCCTGCCCTGATTCCCAGTGTCCACCCCCAAGACTTACACCATGGACAAGGCTGGGTGTCCGTCCTGTCCCAGACAGAGGTCCCTCTGGCTCTCCTGCCTCTCTTCTTGCCCAGTTTAGAGCTTAGCCTTCTCTGTTTATTGGGGACCCCACAGGCTGCCGATGGTTGAGGCAATGGGGAATTCTGCCAATTCCTGCCCCACTGGGCCACTGACCAGGCTCTCTGGACCTGGGAGGACGGTGAAGCTGCAGGCTGGGCTGAGCTGGACCTGGGAGGACGGTGGAACTGCACAGCTGGATCTGGGTAGCCCTGCCCT